CTTGTCTTAGGCAACCGATATTACAGCAATATACCGCTAAGTGAATTTATTTATATTTATTAAAACAGTAATCAACAATATCATAAATTCATAACAAAATATTTAACAAAAACAAAAACATTGATAATGATTTATTTTCACATCAACAACAGATCGTATCGTGCTTCGAAGCGTCGTGATTACTGGTAATCAATGATAAAATTCTTAGGCTGTCGACTAAAGCAGTTCGAATTTCTGATAAAATTTATACCTATATAAAACAAAGTCGAGTATGTTACATCACTTATAACTTATAACGGCTGGACGAATTTTCATGATCTTTGATTTTTTGAAGTCATCTCCGATCCGAATAGCAAAAATAACTATGAAAATATCGAAACAAATATAAAGAAAATTATTATAATAGTAAATAAGAGAACTAACGACAACAACCGTTTTCAATCTTACCAACCGTCAAATTAAAAACTATCAGTGATAGGTATAGGTTATGGGCGATTTAGATTAGTTGTAAATCACGTGTCTAGGGTGTAATAATGAGCATTAAACGCATACCGCTTAAATAACGCAATACTTCAAAAGATTTAAAATGTGCACAGTGCGATTTTGCTATACACCACCTGAAACTTCGTCTCTTAACTCACAAAACCTCGAAGGATTTAAAATGTGCACAGTGTGATTATACAAAGAACTACTGTACTCGCCAAGTAAAAATATCTCACGCTCACCCCCCACTATTAATTGCAGTAATTACCGCGCGACTGAGCCAGTTGGCTTCTCCTGCACACTTTAAATTAATCATCTGCGCATAGCATAGCATAGCCCCATTAAAAAAACGCCAAGGCAGTCACATATTGCACATTTATTTTAAAATTTACGAAAGTTCTTGGAAATTTATGTTTTCAAGATAACATTGTCCAAATGTGCGCCATGTATGTCCTGGCATTCCTGAAGTCAGCTCATGAAATTTTACACAACGCGGCGGCAAGTCCCTTAGGTTTTCCAGAGGTACACTGTAGTCTTAAGGTACCCCCATAGAAAAAAATGGCAGGAAGTCAAATTAATTTTTCTGGACAAAGGAACTTAACAACAGATAAAGAGAGATTAGAAATTTGGCATGTGGCTCCGTCCTGCTGAAACCAAGTGTTCGGATTATATTCTTCAAATTCTTGGAGAGCAGGAGAAAAACAAGCGATCGATTTCGGCCGAGCGGCTATCCTCAGGCTGTCGATCGCTCTAGAAAAAATATAAGCTGCACACAAAAAATTTACCTACTTTATAGAAATTCAAAAAATGGAAAACTTTATGAACAAAATTACTTACAACCCTTAAAATTTCACATAACTGGCGCGACGATGAAATTTGAATTTAAAGGTTCTGATTATTAACGTTCTATGATTTTGAACTTTCGGTCCGTCCGTCCGTCTGTGCACACGATATCTCACTAACATAGTTCCCAAACGATCCATTGTGGACCTTCAGTTTATTTGAAGAGATAAATTTGCCATTTGTTTATTATACGGGTTTTAAATTTTCATCGTAAACACGTCACAGTTTTCGCTTCTTCATTACTGTATTTGTCACTTTCCAATTTTGTAAGTCGTTTGGGATTTAATGGAATGTATGATTACGCGCGAATTATAAGTATTTTGAACTTTCGGTCCGTCCGTCCGTCCGTCTGTGGACATGATATCTCACTAACATAGTTCCCAAACGATCCATTGTGGATTGCGAATTATAAGTATGCCGTTTTGCGCCGCTTAAGTGAAAGTTTGTGCTATTACAGAAAATAAGTTATTTAAAATTGACTTTTTTATTAATGAAGTTTTTTAAGTGGTAATTAAGCGCTTATGCGCCTTTTAGCACCGTTGAAATAAAATAAGTAGGTATTAGAGAATGAGTTATTTCAAAACCATTATCCCGGTTAACTTCAGGTCCGTTCGATTTTCCATTTCAGAAGTATGGCAGAGCGTGGGCTGGAAAAGGTCATTTTGATCACTGAAACAAATTAATAACTGTAGAATAAACGAACGACATAAATAGAAATAAAGCGGATTGAGCTTCAACATAACCTATAAGTTATATATAGCTTAGCATCAGCTTTCGGCTGTAATCCTGCATGAGGGCGCAAATTTTATTTCATCTCTCAAAACACAGGTTTTCAAAAGATTTAAAATGTGCACGCTGTAATGGGTGTTATATGGAAATGTTAGACAATGTCAATGAACTCATACACGGGGTGTTTCAAAAAAAAGATCAGATATTTTAACTATACGTATATTCGTGAAACCAATATTGTAGTAAGGTATTCATAAAAAGAATATAACAGTAAGATTGGGTTGGCGCTGCTTTAACTCAAACCTGCCGCATAAACGGCCAACTAGCTCAGGATTGGAGAAAATTAAAGGCTTGATATCTGCCACAGCGCTGGGTATATAATCTTCGGTACCTTGTTGTATCTACCACAGGGTTGAGCGCCACCCATCTTCTTTAAATACTTTACATGTATAAAACTGGGAAGGTACAAGGGAAATAATAGAGATATCAAATTAGCAAAAGAAATACCGGTATTCTAGTCCATATAAAAAAAAAATTGTCTCCAATATTGGGTTACGTTATTACGTATCGCCACAAATCCCAAATATTCAAAATTATTGATTAATCTTGTAAAAAGAAAAGTCTTAGTAAATAGGCCGCAAATTAAGTGCTTCAGAGGTTTTGTATTGTCTTCAACAAATTACATTATTTAAAACAAACGAACAGTGTTGCTTTTAATGTAAGGGAAAATACTTAAAGAAGATGTAGATGTGTCCTTCCATTTGCACACAGATTGCACATCTTCGTTCAACGGAAGCTTTTATTCGTTAGAATACAAAAATATTTAAATTCTGAAACATTTAATTTGCGGACCTATGCCTATTAAAACTTTTTGTTTCTTTTCATGAGTAATATACGCAGATAAAATGTCCGATTTTTTTTAAATACCCTATATACGAGGTTGGCCACGATAGGCGATACAGGTTTGCTATCTTTATATAAAAAATTCTACTGTACGTGTGTTTGTGACTGAACTCCTCATAAACGACTGGACGGATTTTGGTGAAAATTTTTTTGGGTGTCCCCGGATGGTTTAGATTCACAATTGGACCAAATAGGAATCTTATATCCGTCAATCTAGAGCATAAGAAGTCGTGGGAGAAAATCTAGTTGTCTATATAAAAAATGAATGTTTGTCTGTCTGCTCTTATGCCTCTCTAAACCGTTTATCTAATTGCGATGAAACTTTGGGGAATGGTTGGACCGAGGGTTGGACGTATGCTCTCGAAAGTTTCTGAGTTAGTTAGAAATATCCACGGGAACTGGAACAGAAAAAAAGGTTTGACAGCGAGTTTCACATTCGAACATGACATTTAGAACGTAGGTTTCTTTTCCGAAAGAACTTACCGGAGTTCCCACAGGAACGAGCCAAAAACGGGATTTGCCAAAGGCAGTACGAATTTCGTCGGGATTGCTTGAGTATTTATAAAATTAGTTTACTCAAAATCGTCCTGAAACCTTCATTTTCATGCCTATTTCTATCAGGAAATTTTAGTTTCCATGACAAACCACGTTTCCTGCCGTTTGTCACTTTACTGGCCGCACGTGTCACTTTATCGGCCGCACGTGTCACTTTACCGGCCGCATCGGCACTTTACCGGTCGCATTTGACATTTCCAAATGTCTATAATGACTCCTGTCATCACTGACAGATTGACATTAATCAAAAGTTCTATAAAAATTGAAATTTTATATTAAAATACGATTCCGGGTAAAATTTAATACAAAACTCGTCAGTAAAATGACATTACCTGACTCGGAAATTAAAGTCGTCGCCAGTAATGTATCATTTTCCTGACTTTTATGTAAATAACTATTTTTCATTGCATCATTTCCATTGATGATTAAAACCACCGTGATTTAAATTTTGATTACAATCATGATATGATTCATAAGAATCAAAGCTGCTTCATTACCAATCGCATGAAATGACTTCGGGGTACAACAAAGCTCAAATGAGATTTCGACCTCGTGTAACAGGGAGTAAAATCCTGCATGCAAAATTGTTTGTGTCGTTTTTTTCATTATTGTAAATATGACCTAGAAAAACGCGTACAGTATTTAAATTCGCATTAATAACTCTGTACCTAACCTACTACAATGTTAGTCTGCTTGTATACTTCCGCCATTCATGTTTAACGAACTAACACCAATTTCAATTACGGGTCGCTAATTTGAGCAGTCTCGAAAATAAGGTGGGCACCAAAATTCTAATATAGGTATTTTGCATGAAATTTAAGTAATTCCGGATTATTTTTGAGGTCAATGTCATAAACGTAGGTGTGTTTTGGACATGGGGCGCACCCACAAAGTGCACTGTACTTTGCATAACCGTTGTAAAATTTGTGCATCGTTTTTTTGTTCCCTTTGTAGGTCAACAAGCTCGCAATTTACAAATGTAAATAATTTAACGCATTTTTTAAACGGTTCACACCACAGTAGCCATAGACAAGTTGTCTAGCAAGTAATACGCACGCCGCTTAAAGAAAGGTCAGATCTAAATTAAACGCGATTAGAACATGTAGTTACGTATATATTGTAATTTAATTATAACTTCTGACCGAAATAAGTTTCATCAATTGATGTTTAATTACGACTTTTAATCATATTCATGCTTAATATTAATGCATGAAATACAAACAAATTAATTGTATTTCATTAATTTAATTATGTTGTTGTTGCATTCCTGCGATGTAATTTTTAATAATTAACAGCTACGTTTTATTTAATCAACAAGCACTCGATCCTTATCAAATGATTATTAAGTGCACTTTTGCTTTAAAAGTAACTGGCGCCACTTGGATTGATTCCCAATCTGTTTTGTTATTAACAAAATTTGATTGTCGATATATGGCATTGCGTAACGCGAAACGGAATCGAATAGTAATTCAGAATTTTTTTTCCAGAGTGCGTTTTCGGGAAGCAAGTACGAGAGTTGGGTTCGCAATGGGTGCCAGATTTGGGAGTTCCAATTGGCGTTTTGTATTGCATGAAATGCGAATGTGTGCCGGTAAGTCAAAATAACCTTCGCGAGATCGATATTATGGCGATCACGTCGCGTGGACAATCATATACCAATTATGTACCTTTCTGTGCCGACAGTGTGGATTTTTTCAAAAGTGACCAAGTGTGTATATAACCAGTTTGCGAAAGCGAGATCGAATATTTTTATTTACAGGTTAATGAAATTATAAATTTAAAATTTTCCATGATGGCGAAAGCGGTATTGTGAGAATTTCGAAATTAGAATTGGTATTAGGAGTTGGTCGGTTCTTTTGGCATTCCTCGATAATTCATCGATGAATAATTGATGGGAAAAATACAAAAAAAAACACCGACTAAATCAACATTCGCCAGTAGTGAGACATGGACTCGGAAAGTCAATAAACATGTCTGTATCTAGTAGCGGTTGACCTTTCACGCTGGCGCCTCCAAAGGCCTTTCTCACTATACCATCACTTTTCATATCGCATTTTTCCCTAGACCTTTATACAAATTTACACCAACAGCGTCATCACTTAATCAATCAGTTGTACTATAAATACTAAACCGGATATAAAACCGCAACTATACTAAATCAGGCTAATTCCCAAATTAGCCGCGAATGTTTCAATTAAAATTCCTCGCCCATATCGTTTTCCGTTCGCCAATTTGCAATTAATAATTTGCCGAATTTAGAGCGTGCAAATAAAAACTTGGCGAAAACTTCTGTCATTAATCGTGGATAGTTACGGTGATCTATGCGAGCGTCCTCGTATTTTTCATTTCCGAAGGACTGTGGAGATTTATCTTTTTTCCGACGAAAATGACCAGTCATATGTAAAAATTCTTAATTAATAATACATGGCGCATTCAAGAATCGCTCACCGTTAAACTGGGTCATTATGAAAATTTTATAAAAATAGTCCCGCGATTATTTTTCGGCAAATTAGATCCACTTTTTTGACCACTTGAATAATGAGAGAATTTGCATAACTATAAATAATGCGGCGTCTTGCGAGAGACGGTGACGAGCCCCATGCAGCGGATTCTCAATGAGTTATTTGGAATATCGATGAACCGATGGTTGTTATGAAAAAGAACAAGTTCTGAGATGATCGTAGGTGTTTCGTGATTCAGCAGGCACCCTCGTTTCACTCTTCTTCTTGCGACACCCACTAAAGTGAAAGACTGCCGCGCGCCCCAGTTTCGCATATCAATGAAAATTTAATGAAAGAAACGCGAACTCTACCAGATGTGCTAAATAAATAGTGTGTCATACATACGCGTAGGAAAATTTTTCTCACTGATGAAGACGCAGTACGGGGGCGTCTAAAGGTAGAGGTCACGAGGGTCGGTGACCGGCAACTGTTTCATAGTCGTTTGTGATCTACCGACACCTTTTGCATATGTCTCTTTGCGAGAAATTAATGATTATATTTACACATTTGTTACAGTTTCGCAAGAAGCGACGAATCGTGGCCAGAGTGCAGTGCCGCAGCATCAAGAAGGAGTGCCCAGTTCCATCGTGCGAGGAACCGGTGCTTCTACCGGGACGATGCTGCAAAATTTGCCCCGGCGATAACTACAGTAAGTTTTCAGGTGTTTTCATTTAAACAGTTAACACTTCCAAAGAAATAATGTTCCCTGTTATCCTAATATTAATGCGCGGAAAACTCAAAATTACCTCGAGGTGTTACTGATTTTTCTATAAATGGAACTTACGTTACACGGCCCCCTCCTTGAAGCTATATTAATCAGTTGTTACATGCAAATGCAATCACGTTACTTTGTCGTTCTAATATATTGAAATTCGGTGTTATTATTCGGTACCATTAAAAAATGTATGTCCTGTCCACAGACAAATAAAAAATATAAACAATTAGAATTTTTCACATCGAAATTATGACATAATTAACGATCTTGATTTCTTACCATAATTGACGTAGCAATGAAAAATTCACTTATTGAGCATCGTGGCAATACGTTTAGACGTTTCCCTACCGAAAATGGTTCATACCTAACGATTTTGGCGAGCTTCCGTTGGGAACGAATTTTTGTTGTTATAGGGTACACCAACAACCAAAAACACAAAAATAATATGCGTTTCTTCCAGCAGTATCTGATTTTTGCTTGATGCTTCCATAGAAATAACCATTTACCAATAGACGCTTGCCGCTTAAAAGTGTACATATTGCAATTTTGCAACAAATCTTCTGAAACCAGATCTCTTAATAGGTACAAATCTTCAAAGAATTTAAAATGTGCACAGTGTGATTATACAACGAACTTACAAGGCAAAGTTAAGTTAGTAGGCAGATGCTCACAGTACTTTCAAATACTTAAAATGTGCACAGTGCGATTTTGCAACACATCACCACCATGTCCTGAAACGGCTCTTAACTTACAAATCCTCAATAGATTTAAAATGTGCAGACTGTAATGGCATTATGTGGAAATGTTAGACAATTTCAAATGTACCAATTTATACGAGGTCACGGGGATAGGCGATACAACGTTCGTTTGAAACCAATACTTTGTCTGCCTGTCCTCTTGAGTGTCTAAACCGTTCAATGGATTGCGATGGAACTTTGATCAACGCTTGGACGTATTCTCGCTAAAGTTTCGTGAGTATTTCTGAAATTCCCACGAGAACGGGAACAGGAAAAATATGATTTTCTCATATTCGATGTCAAAATTTTGTTCCTATAAGCCACAACAGCCAAAACCCGTAACTCGGACCTAATTCTGAAGATCAGCATAAATTTTGCTTGGTATTTGTGAGAAATAAATACCATTTAGAACTTAAAAATTATTAGCTAATTACGTGATTTTATTATATTATATTATTATTATTATTTTATTTCCAATTAATTATTAATGAATTTATAACATGTAAATTTATCTCATACGAACGTGAACTTCACTAATAATCGAGGTTGGAACTTTCATTAAACACTATTCAATTCTCGAGAATTCCCGAATACCTGCGACGTGGACATGTCACATTTCTCTGAAAGAACGCGGTACATTCCCTTTGGTTCTTTATCGCCGGAGAAAGAGCTGCAAAGATTTTGGGCAAAATCGCACATGCGCAGGTCTACGGGTGGTATCTGTTCTAGCAACAGCAATTTTTTAATTTCCATCCGACGTTAGTGTAGTCAGGACTGCCCTTGCCAAGTGCTCATCGTTTGATCAAGTTTTTACCATTGAAGAGGATGTTGACCTACTGGTCCTCCTTAAGGGTTTCAGCTCTAGACAGACGAACGTGTACTTCCTTCACATGTGGAGAAATGCAGGTTCCACGAGGGATGGTTTTTATTCCTGCATGCCATCAGTGGATGTAACACAATACTTACCGTACACGCACCCAACCGAAAAAGGGCAACCAAGGCAGACTAAGAGATCCTTGTTCTTGTTTTGATAAGCTAAAGAAATAAAACAATTGACAGGATAGAACACAAGAATTGTTGTCACAATCCAGATTTAATAAATGATCTCTAGATGTTACAAATAGGTCACTGTAATATCTAGATCTGAAATGTCAATGTTTAAATTTAACTCAATTTTTAGCAAATAGAGCATCAACCCGTAGTTAGGGTCAATATCAACACAGGCTTCCGCAGAAAACAATGGAGCTATAATTGTTAAATGACTATCAAACAAATGTAGTAATTACAATTCGATTGTATCGACAACCAAGTCGTCAAAAATAAAAATTACCTTTGAACTCTGATTGTAATGGCCTTTTGAGCTCAGAAGGGCGCTTTTCTGCCTTATCTGTAACAGATAACACAAACAAACAAGAGGGATAGTGAATAGCTCGGCACATAAATATTGCGGTAGCAATGTCTAACGTCGGACACTAGGATAAATGGAATACTACAACCGTAATTAATACTCACTAAGAACCAATAATTCAATTTACGTTAACTAAACAAACGCAAAATTTTGATCGGCAACGAATTGTCCGTACAAATCGGTGAATAAAAACATAAACGTGACGTTACTTTAAGATGATTGTGATATCCACTATAAAGAGCAAAATCACCATAATATTATTTAAAACAAATTGTTTTTGAACCTTTAAAAAATATCTTGTCGCTGGATTCGGCTCAGGGCCGTAGCCAGACTGTATAATCAGGACAGGCTCACCAACATTCAGGACAGGCGGCATATTCCTGAACGATGACAAAAGAAGCATACATTTATACCATTTTTGGAATAAACGTGTGATTACTATGCCACTGGTTCAAGATTACGTCAAAATTGCGTTACAAGCGTATACAAACTTGTTCCAATGATATCGAGAATATGCTCCCAGACTGAAATCTAAAATGTAAGCAATGTTCCACATTTTGACATTTGGGCGAAAGCCTGTTGAGGGCCCAGAACAAGAGGGACAATAAATAAAATAAAAAATATAAAAATAAACGAGACTGTCGCCCTGTTATTTGTCCCTGAAAATGACTTACAGGCCACAATAACTAAAAAAATACTGGCTTTATTTTCATAAGCACTTTTTCAAATTTTTATTTTGCAAATAACCACTCGGCTGGCCTAAATTAACAAAAAATTCAAAATTTACTACGTTTGTGAACACATGTGGCAATTTTTTTTTAAAACAATTACAATAATCATCTAAAATGAAACCTAACTCAAACTGACCTACTACTACATTAAATGTACCCTGAAACCAATTTAGTGCTCATCAAACAGCACAGACGATAATAGGTATCAAATGTCACTTATTTTTAAACACTTGTTCTACCAAGGTAAGCAATCCCAATCCTCTACGTTTTATATTTAATATCATGCTCGAAAAAAAATACGACAAAATAAAGTACTTAGTACTTTGCATTGCGTGTTTTTAAATTAAAAAAAAGTTTTTAATCACCAGATTAAATTTTCTCAATCGTCCTCGTATATGCAATTCGCGCATGCATACATTTAATATATGCGATATGTTTGTTTTTAATCGAAGCTTCTATGGTTAAAATTTTTCAGAGATTTTCATCAGAAAAAAAGATGTCATTTTGCAGTTTGCGCATGTTTGCCTTTGTGAATGACATTTGTAGTTTTCGATTTTTTACTACATGTGATATATTTTTCTTTACTAGAAGCATCTATGATTAAAATTTCGAAGAAATATTTTCATAAATAATGAAGTTGGGACTGCACAGAATGCGCATGCGCACATCTAATGTTTACAATATGAGATATGTTTGCTTTCGTTGGAAAATGCGCTAAAAGATCAAAGCTTCACCAAATATTTGTGATAAACCTTCACGAGACACCCTCGGCCATTTGAGATGTTGATATATCGCACTTCTATACCAATAGACATTGCAGCGTTGCAGGTTTTAAAAAACATGTTATACATAGATATGTTCGTTTAATTGATAACCACAACATCGTCAATAGTAATAATTTTCTGTGTTATTATATATTTTTAGCAGACTCGTAAACTCCAATAAGAAATTCGGAAATCTGGCTAGGGCAGGCTTACAATTTTTCAGGGCAGGCTCAGCCTGCCCTGGCGTGCCCCTGCCTACGGCCCTGATTCGGCTTAAGTGTGGAACATATTTTGGGCGGATGTAGGTTGGTTCTACGGATTCAGGAGATCGCAAAGGTTTTTTTTTTATTAGTTACCTTCCTTTCAAACATTCCCAGATTGGTCAAAATCATAAAAATGTTGACACCTTCTTTTGTGAAGGTAGTACTGTCATCTTGAAGTACCTACGGATTTAGAAAAAAACTTTGAAACCCATTACTTCCAATTTTTATGTCTCATGGTGAATGAGTAAAAATTAAAGAAGAAACAATAATGGGATTTTTGAGACATTTTGAAACGTTAGTTTACTTGCAAAAAAATGTTTGTTTTAGTCCTTCTTTCCTTAAAATTTTGTACAGTTACATAATTTCATGTCTGTGAATATTTTAGGCAAGTAAAAACCGGGTGCAAAATTGCTCTAAAATGATGTGCCTACTTTATAGCCCAGGTACTCATATTCTTCGCACGTTTCATGTAATAAGTTATACAATGCAGGAATTGAATTCCTCAGTTTGCCATGTATTAATAATATTACCTACTTAGCTACATAGTAATAAAAGTAGACGAGAATGTGGAAAAAACGCGAATTACGTAAAGTTTGAGGTTTTTTATATGTCACGGTGAATGGTTAATTATAATCGTGTCACGAACTGACTGAATTATGAACACTCTAAATGCTTCTTCTAAAATCCGACGCGAAAATAATTAGGTTCCCGTTTCGAATGCTCCGAATCAGACCTGACGTGACTTCGTCAAAGAACTTCTACAATACCAAAAGAATTTCTCGGCCCGGTAAATGGCGAAATGTTTATCTAAGATGTCTCGGTCACGTCGAAACACTTTCCAAAAACATTTTTGGTCACGTTCGCGCATTAAGCATTTCTATCGACCTACACTCATAAATTCTAGTCAAACCCTAAGAAGATCTTATAGTTTGTGCAGGGTGTGTTTAAAAAATCTCTCCAATTGTGTCATAAATAAACCCATTTTGTTTATATCAGTAATTAACACTTTGTTTTATAAACTTTAACACTGT